TTTGTTGCCCTGCACAGGAGAACGGAGCTGGAAAGCAGGTTAGTGGGACGGGGAGGGAATGGGGATTTTGCAGTATCCTTCCCCTGCCACACCCACCAAGCCACACCATGCCCACCAAGCCACGCCCACAGAACAGGTAGTAAAAAAATTTGAATCCCACCATTGACCTGTATTATCCTGGCACACATATATTTGCCTTCATTTGTGAAATAAATAAACAAACAAACAAATAAATAAATCCTACTGCTGCCTGGGGGACCTTGGGTAATCTTCTGCTTTAGATGGGTATAAGCAAGACAGCTGATTTCATGGCACTTAGTTACTATAACTCCCCTTCTGTGCTCACTAAAATACAGCAGAAAACATGGAGAAAATATTGGCTTGCAATATTTTACAAAGGAAGTGTAATTGAAATATTTTGACCTTGTAAAACATTCTAAATCTTAGAGGGGAAAAAAGGTCTGGGTTTTTGAACCTTTTCTCAAGGAAAGCCACCTGAGGTTTATGCTACCATCTTTAGATATCTTGCCTTTTATTCTTCCTGACTTTTAAAAACTCTAGTGTATTTTTTTATTATTATTTCTGCTGTGGCTGTTCTTAGGCTATTAACGGCTGCCAGGAATTGTTCTCTTTATTATTGCTCCTTTATTGTGTCTTCTAAACCATTTCACAAATGTTTAGTTGAAAGGCAATAAAAACCCTCACAGGATTAGCCTGAACATAAAAAGTGTGTATGTGTTGTGGGGAGAAGCCATCTATGCTTCTCTCGGAGCCTTTGATAATAGAATAAATAAACAGAAACCATCCTATGATTCTTCAGGTGTTGTGATGTGTCTATAACTACTGTGATCAGAATCGTGCAAGCCTTAGTATTCTCTGCAATACTTCATGAAAGCAAAAGGTGGACTTTGAAGAAACAGGGTAGGAAGAGTATTGATGATTTTGACCTCTGGTGTTGTGGAAGACTCCTGGGAATTTTGTAGACAACCAAGAAAATAAACAAATGGATGATTGAACAAAGCAACCCAGAGTTCTCCCTCGAAGCTCGAATGACCAGGTTCAAATGATCCTACTTGGGATACATTACCTGTATACATTACAGGTATCTGTAGGAGGCTTTAATGCCGAGATAAGTCAACCGTGAATGTTACACCTACATGGAGGGAAGCATGCAGTGGGGTACTCCAAGATTCTGTCTATGGTCCTCTTCAACATCTTCATAAACGTCCCAAAGGTGTTTTTTTTCCCAAAAGGAAAGGCAACTAAACTTTGTTTTTCCTTGAAGACATTTTGCTTCTCATCCATGATGCTTCTTCAGTTCAGAACTAAGGAAGCTTCTTGGACAAGAAGCAAAACATCTTCAAGGAAAAACGAAGTCCAGTTGCCTTTTGAAAAAGCACCTTTGGGACAACTGTGACCTGGATGATTGAGAATGTCATTCATAAATGATTTAGAGGAGGGGGTAGAACTCCTCAAATTTGCAGATAACACCAAGCTGGGGAGAATGCTTAATACTTTAGAACAGTGGTTGCCAACCAGTGGGCCAGGGACCACTGGTAGTCCGCGAGAAAATTTCGGTGGTCCGCAGAGAAATGTCACCCCCAAAGCAATTAATCCAGGCTAAGCAGGAACACAAGGCTCGAGTCACTTGCATTGCAAACATGAGGTAATGAGGGGAGGGGGAAAGGGCGGAGGAGGGGAATTTGGCCCACTCGCTCCACGCACCTCACCTGGCCACCGGGCTACTTCTTTCCACTTCTTTCTTCTTCTGCTTTTGGCTGCATGCAAGGAAAGCAGAAATGAGTCTTTGGGACCCTGCAAGGCATCCTGCCCCAAGAGGCTGCGCCGGTGCGTCAAGTCTCACAAAGACTCATTTCGGGCGGAGTTTGGGGGAGAGAAAGAAAGACTTCTGCTGCTTCTGCTGCTTTCCTTCCATGAAGCCAAAAGTCTGTCTCTCCCCCTGAGATCGGAGCTGGAGATGATATCCTGTGATCCCAAATAAAGAATGATCGATCGGTAGGAAAACAGGGTGGGGAATTTTCCTGCAGACTTTTTGGGGGGATTTTCCCAGGGTCTCTGGTCCGCAGGATTTAAAATTATGAATTTGGTGGTTCCTGAGGTCCAAAAGGTTGACAACCCGTGCTTTAGAAGACACTTAAGATTCAGAAAGATCTTGACAGAGTTGAATGTTGGGCCCTATCCAAGAAAATGTAATTTCAGTGGTGAGAAAAATAAAGTTTTAGACTTAGTGCCAATCTTCCAAGTAATACCCCCATGGTCCACACAGCTCCGAGGCAGGTTGATTCCTCAAAGAACAGTTATTAGGAGATATCATCCTGGTACAACTGGTGAAAAGCCAAATCTAAATGTTCCTGCCCCTTCCACCACATTAAAAAGTAAACATTTCCTGTTTTCCCAAAACAATAAATCACATTGTCCAATCTGGATACTGGCTGGTTGCCTGGTTATCTCTCTCCTCCTCTTCTGGCTAGCCAGCCATTGAAATGTCCCTGAATCATCGGAGAACTATGTTGTTTTGACTACAAACCCACATCTACCTGTAACCCACTTCAGCCCCATTGCGTCAGCCTGAAGCCATGTAAAAAGAACCCCAGATAGTAAAGACTGCCCCTCACACACAGAAAAGAAAATGGCCACAGCCAGGTCAGCTTCAGGCTTGACACTTAGACAAGAAAAATCAAATGTAGAGGTACAGAATAGGTGGTACCTTGCATAACAGCATTAACTATGAGAGGGATCTAGGGGTCTTAGTGGACAACCACTTAAATTGCTGGATATTGGCTATGTCTAGATTGAAAAGAAGGACTAGAGGTGCAATGATAGTAGTATTCCAATATCTAACAGGCTGCTACAAAGTAGAAGGGGGATCAACCTATTCTTCAAAACACCTGAAGGCATTGCTGAAGAAGCAACAGATGGAAACTAATCAAGGAGAGAAGAAATCTAGAACTAAGGATAACTTTTCCTATGGTTAGAACAAATAATCAGTGGAATGACTTGCTTCCAAAAGTTGTAAGTGCTCCAACATTTGAGGTTTTAAAGAAGAGACTGGACAGACACTTGTCTGAAATGATATAGGGTTTCCTGCTTGAGCAGGGGGTTGGACTAGAAGACCTCCAAGGTCCCTTCCAACTCTGTTATTCTGCTATTCTATTAAGTATGAGCCAGCAGTGTGTTGCAAGTACCTGAAGGCAAGGCAAGAACCAGCAGATGGAAGATCAAAACTTAAACTGGGAAAGAATAGGATAGAATAGAATAACAGAGTTGGAAGGGATCTTGTAGGTCATCTAGTCCAACCCCCTGCTCAACAGGAGGCCTTATAACCATTTCTGACAGATGGCAGTCCAGTCTCTTCTTGAAAGCTTCCAGTGATGAAACTCCCACAAGCTCTGAAGGCAAGCTGTTCCATTGGTTGATTGTTCTCACTATTTCCTAATTGCGAGAGTTATTAAGCTATGGCTTCAGAAGCTGAGGAGGCTCCATCACAGGAGGTTTTCAACAGTGATTCAATTTTTTTTTACTACCGGTTCTGAGGGTGTGACTTGGTGGGCGTGGCAGGGGAAGGAGACTGTAAAATCTCCAGTCAGAGGTGGGATTTGCCGGTTCTCCGGACTACTCAAAATTTCCACTACCGGTTCTCCAGAACTGGTCAGAACCTGCTGAATACCCACCTCTGGTTTTCAATAAAAGATTGGGTGGCCATTTGTCCAAAATGGTAGGAGGACTCCTTCACTGGGCTGGGCGTTGGGCTAGAAGACTTTCAAGTTCCCTTTCAACTCTATGATTCTAAACTGCACAGTAGCGCATTCTGTTTCTTTGATGTTTGATCTCTGCGGGGGCAGAGGTATTATAATGACATGTCATAAATACTGTTCTTGACACAGGCATAATCAACATACCCGACGCCAACACTTGTTTTGTTCCTCCAAACAAAACTGTATCTCTTTCAGCATTGAGGATGGGATGTCACATTAGAGCTAGCATTGTTTGTAAATTGGGGAGACTCTTTCATCATACCGCAGGTGCACAAGTAATCCGATTAGAAAGAGAGTTGCTCAAGTGTGGTTAAATTAACTGAAGTTTCAAAAGAAGATTTTAATCTCCTCATATCTAATGTTAAGCAATACCGGCATCCAAAAATCACAGTATTAGTGTGGAGTGGCCTATTTGTGAGTTGCCCATGACCAAAGGATTTATGTAATGAAAAGCTGAATTATTATAATATTGAGAACAGAAATAGATGCACAGGAGACCTGGGTTCTTTACTTAAAGCAGAGTGGAAAATGCTTGACTTTATGCCATGTTTGTACATTTCCTGGAGGCACCTGGATGGCAAAACAGGGTGATAAAGTATGAAAAGGATTTGAAACTCAAAGATGTGACATCCCAAAATGAACTCTATACCATAGCTCCGTAAACCATCAGTTAAGGAATTTGATATGTGGTAATGGGGATAAATGTTTCCTTTGATGATCCAAAATAAAGGAATTGAGGAGATTTTCAGTTGGTAGATTTTTACTGCCAAATGTAAAGAGCCTCCAGAAGTTGTGGTTGCTCCAACACGGGGAGGTTTTTAAGAAGAGGTTGGACAACCTGTTGTCTGAAATGGCACAGGGTTTCCTGCTTGAGCAAAGATTTGGACTAGAAGACCTCTGAGATATCTTCCAACTCTTGTTATTTTGTTAATTTGTTATTCTTCTCACAGTGACAATGAAATGCAGGCAAGCGAATCAGATGGTTGAGATGCCAACACAACAACCAAAAGAGACGATATCTTTTCCAGTGAGATGGGACCCCCTACTGCCTCTCAGCAGTATGCTCAAAAGACAAAAGACCTACAGCTGGCCTGTCTGGGTAATGTTAGAAAGTTTAGGCATTGTATTGGTTATCAGAGACAAACGGCTTCTCGGAAAAGAGGCAAATACATGTCTGAAGTGTTTCTGGAACATAGCTTAAACATTCCAGTCTTTCCAGTTCCCACCTGAACTTTCTGTTCGAGATAGACTGTCTCTCTGCTGAGGTCAGCTTAAACCTTTCCCTGAAGATCAACGCAGAACTTGAAGCCCACATAAAATCTATTCGTCAGCATTCCAGAAAACCTCCACTCCAACCAATAACTCCGAGACAGACATCTTCTCAAAAGTTCTTTTTATTTTGGATAGTAAACTGGCACAACTGGGGAATCCCAAATCTGAAAGTTCCAGGCTTCCTTGCAATAAGTAAAAACTACAAATCCATCATCTTATAAAGTGGCATTAATACTTGACGTGATCTTGATTCTATCGCACTTCTGCCTAGAACTGTGTTGGCTTTTTTGGCAGCTGCTGCACAGCTCGTGACCAACTCCTACAAAACTGAGATGACCAAAAATAGAATCAACTACTAGTCTACTCCAGGGGTGGGATTCAGATTTTTTAACAACCGGCTCTGTGGGCATGGCTTAGTTGGTGGGCATGGCTTGGTGGTCATGTGACTGGCTGGGCATGGCCAACTCAACATCACTCACATTGAGGCACGCATCTATTCGCCTGGCCTGTGGGGATGCTGCAACAGTCGTAAGTGTGAAAAACGGCCATAAGTCATTTTTTTCAGTGCCATTGTAACTTGAATGGTCACTCCACACAAGCAAAGTACCAGCAAAGGAGGAAAAAAAACTCCAGAGAAGTTCCTGAGACAGGAAGTCTAGTCCTGCCAAGAATGTAATAAGGGTCAACGGAGAGGCAGTTTCTGTAAGCAACACCAGAATATTTCCTTCCTGCCTTCCTTACAGGATTAGGCAAGGAATTTCTTCTAACAACCGGTTCTCCGAACTGCTTAGAATGTTAACAACCGGTTCTAGAGAATAGGTGCAATCCTGTAGAATCCCACCCCTGGTCTACTCACTTTCTTTCTCCTCCACCATGACAGTGTGACACAGGGCAAGCAACCGCATGTATTCCCTCACCACCGGGTCCTGGTCACTCCGGATGGTATCCAAAAGCAACTGATCATGAAATTCCAGCTTCTTGTCTATATACTTGTTCCAGCTCAAATCCTTGGAGAAAAAAGAAAAAGGGTCAGAGATGGGCTTGGAAACCACCGGGATAATATACCTATTTACATTGGTTGGCTCTGAAACTGTGTAAACTGACATCTTGGGAAGGAGGGAAAAACCACAGAGTTCAGGGATTGGCCACTTTCTTTGGCTAAGATCCACTTAATTGCCAGAGGGCCCCAGCACGTGGGAACATCACTGGAGGGATTGAAGCTCAAATATTTTGCTCAATTTGGAAGCTGTTTACTTTCTATGGCCTTTCATAGAAGGCCTCCTCTTTATAGCAATAGCAGCTAGGCTTATATACCACTTCATAGTGTGTTTTCAGGGATCTTCAACCTTGGCAACTTTAAGACTTGTGGACTTCAACTCCCAGAATCCCTCAGCCAGCTTTGCTTGTATTCTGGGAGTTGAAGTCCACAAGTCTTAAAGTTGCCAAGGCTGGAGACTTCTGTATTACAGCACTCTCTGGGCGGTTTACAGTGTCAGTATATTGCCCCCAACAATCTAGGTCTTCATTTTATTGATGTTCAAATGACGGAAGCCTGAGTCAACCTTGATGCCCGTCAGGATTGAACTCCAAGTTGTGGGCAGAATTTGCCTGCAATAGTGCATTCTAACCACTGCACCACCAGTAGTGCCCCCTCTTATTTTGGGAAGTAGAGGGAAATAAATAAAATGGCAATTGTATAGCTGAAATTTTGTCACTGAACAGTTGTCTATTTGGGCTTCACAGGAAAGGGGAGAGCACAAATGGAGTCACAGGTGACTCACAATCTCTGGGTTGCCCACTTATACTCTAATTTATACACCACATTAAAAACTCACTCTAAAAGCTGTGTCTGGGGAACCTGCCACTTTTCAGATGTGGTTCAAGTACAGGGTAGTCCTTGACTTATGACCACAATTGGTCGAATTTCTGTTGGTTAAAGCAAGGTGTTTTTAAGCAAGTCATACCCAATGTTATGACCTTTTTCGCCATGGTTATTAAGAGAATCACTGCAGTTGTTAATGATCATGTGATCATTAAGTGAACCTGGCTTCTCCCATTGACTTTGTCTGTTGGAAGTTGTTGGGACCAATGATGATCACGTGATTCAGGATGCTACAGTCATCATAAACACTTACTGATTGCCAAGTCCCCTGATTTTGATCACGGGAGGCTCAGCCAATCTCATTGTACACAGGTTGTACTCTGACAATAAAAGTAATAATAATAAAAGAAAGTGACAGTGGGGATGCTAACTGTAAGTGCAAGAACCAGAGGTAAGTCACTTTTTCAGTGCTGCTATAATTTCAAACGGTCATTAAACAAATTATTAAAAGTTGAGGACTACCTGTATAACTTCCCCTATCAATATTCACAGTTCTTCATTTCACAGATTCCTTGTTCAGGAATTGCAGTTCAACAACATCTTTAGGATATAGAACTTTCCCCCACAACACTCACAATAGCAGATGGATAAATTTAAGATAATAAGTCACTAACCTATACCATGTTATCTAATGCTACTCTTTTTTCCCCCCAAAGTTTTTTATAATTTTATTTTTTACACATCTCTTCATGTGAGCAACATGATTCCAGATTACAATATTTATACACAGTCATAGTTACACTTTCAACTTTCTTAATTAATATCACTTCAAATTATTATCCATTCGACTAATCTTTAGATCAATTTCCCTTTCATATTTCAATTCATTAATTCAATATCAAAATCATTTCATCCTTGCATATATTTTCAATTCTTTATCCCCTATTATTTCCATTTTCAGCTTACCACCTATTTTATGTTACCTTATGTATTGTTATCATCTATAACTTTCTCAAGACCAATATATAATTAGACAGTCAATGAAAGAAAAAATGAGTTAAAAGTAAAGTAAGATTAATACATTTAGGATCCAAATGGTATATCCCCTATCTACAATATATCTTATATCTATTCCAGAGATATTCATATAATAATTTCATATTTTTTCTTTGTTTCCAAAATTTACCTTTATAATTTAAATAAATTTTCATTCCCCTGCTTTTGATTATAATTCATTCATTATAAATATTTTACATTGCCACATAATCCCTTCTAGTTCATTATATTTTCTATTTTATCATATCCTTTGTATAATCAATTGTATTTTCTATTTCATGTATACCACAAAGAAAAAAATAAAATAAAAACAGAGTTAATTTCCTCTTTTACTTCCCTTTGACCAATTTCAACCTATAGCATTTATATAAACCTAATTCACACTTTTTAAACATAATTAATACCAGATTTTCACCCGTCATCATATTCTCTGTTTTCCAAATATCATTTAGTCATTAACATATTTTAGAATATGTATGTATGCATATGTGTGTGTGTGTGTGTGTGTGTGTGTATGTGTGTGTATGTATGTATGTATATGTATATGTATATGTATGTATATGTGTGTGTGTGTATATATATATATATATATATTCTTAAGTTTTCGCGGGTACTTACATGTATGGTATTCAGCTTTGTTCGGGTATTTTCCCACGTCATTGTAGTTGTGCTTTTAAAGTTGTAGCAATGTTTTGGCAGAATCTCATCTGCCATCATCAGGCTTCTGTATTGTGTTCGTCATGCTATACTCCCCTGGTATACGAACACAATACAGAAGCCTGATGATGGCATATGAGATTCTGCCAAAACGTTGCTACAACTTTAAAAGCACAACTACTATGACGTGGGAAAATACCCGAACAAAGCTGAATACTATATTGCTACAACGTTGTAGGTGTAGGTGTGTTCGGGTCTTTTTCCATGTAAGATTAAGAGTATCTTGGCGACTCGTTTGTTGGTGAATCCCAGCCACGAAAACCAACACCAGACCCAAAACAACACAGACACCACCGCCAACCCCCCTCATCAGATCCAGGCCCAAGCCCATCCTATAAACGAAGGACAACCACCATCCAGAAAACAGACCACGGCTGCTTCACCAGCTCTCGCACCCCCCAACCCCAAAACCAAACAAGCTGACACACACCAAGAACACAGACCCAGACCCCAAACTTGAAGCCAGACTAAAACCCAGAATGCTACATCACAGCCACCCGCTCAGGACATCAGATCAGAAAACTCAGGAAATTACACCACAAGAACTCAAGAAGTTGCAACACAGCAAATGACCCAGGATATCACAGCACAAGACCAAGGATACCACAGCAATAAATCTCACAAGGTCATCACACAACCCATTGCCCAAGCCGTTACTACACAGGAGGCTAGTGGAAAAGAGATCAAAACACAAATGACCCAGGATACCACAACAAAAGAACTTGCAAGCCCATCACAAAACCCATTACCCAAGCCGTTAAAACACGAGAGGCTAATGGAAAAAAGATCACTACAAAACAAACGACTCAGGAGATTACAGCACAAGATCCAGGATATCTCCACAACAAAACTCACAAGGCCATCACACAGCCCATTATACCAACATCAACTCCATCAACCAATCAAGAGGCAGCAGTGCAGTCAACCAGCCCAGCACACCAGCCCCCACCACCAGTATTTATAGAGAGATGGCAGCTCCGATCACACACTGTTTGGACTGGCACGAAGCCGAAAGCACCAGCCTGAGGATGGTGAGTGGGACCTCGCCGAAATGTCGCCAAGATACTCTTAATCTTACCCGGGAAAAGACCTGAACACACCTAGACCTACATACCTGTACCCGTGAAAATCTACGAAAACACACACAGACAGACATAAACATAGACATAGACATAGACATACATATATAGATATATGATTAATAACAATAGAACCCTCTTAATATCACTCACTCCATCTTCATTTTTCTCATCTATAATTATCTAATAATCTTAAAGTAATTCCCAGTAAGTTATAAACTTCAAATCTCCCCAGTCTACATTTCTAACAGAAAACACAAATATACATTCCCATGTGGTGTCCCCCTTTTATGCTATATCTAACCCTTATCTCTAAATCTTTCAGCCTTGTTATTTCTCTTAGTTTTAGCCAGCTTTCCCTTTACTAAGTTTTCCTGGCCTTTCCTCTTTATCCCTCTTTTTTCCTCTAATATTACATTTATTTCCATCTGCCAGTTTTTGAAATTTCTTCTTGTACAGCTTCTTCTTCTTTTGTTTACTCTTGGGAGCTTTTTCTCTTTTATTTATTATCTCTGTCGCCAATGTCTTAGTTTTAGTTCCTTTTGTGTCTTTTGGCAATGTCCCTGAATCTTCATGTCCATTTTGGCTGTTTTCCTCCCCTCTAGAATTCCTTTGTTCTGCTATAAATTGCATTACTTTTTCTGCCAGTGTGTCCAATAGACCCTTTCTTTCTTTTATCATTCCTTTCACAGTTTGCAGTTTCAACTTAAATTCTTTGCTTGCTTCTTCCAGGTTTTAATCAATTGTGTTATTCTTTATTGTATTAAAGTTAATTGTAATCCTTGCCAAAAGACTCCATTTATATCTCTCTTCCTTATTGGTCCTTCTGTTTCCTTTGCACAGTCAACCCCCAACAGTCCCAAGATATGGCCTTCCTTTGTCCTCTTGCTGAAATCTCCCCCTTTTCCTTTTAAGCTTCTGGGGTTCTTGTTATGTTAAAGTCTTTTATTTCATGTCTTTTCTCATTCACACATTTAACAGACCAGTAATTTTCCATAAAGTCATCCAGGAAAAAATGCCTTGTACCATTAGGTGGTGCTCTATATCACTTCCACTTTTCAAAGTTCTTTCCCCCCTCCTTTTTTTCCATTATATTAATGTTAATTTTCAAGCACTTCAACCATTGGCTTTTTTTTTTTTTAAAGTATAATCAATTCCAAGCAAGTTCAGCATTTTATCCAATGTCTTATTAATGCCAGGTTCTGTATATTATTCCCAATTCTGCCCTTAATTTTGTTGTAGCTCTTTTGTAATCCAGATTTTTATTTACCTTATATTGTCCACTTGTTTTCTATTCGCCACAGTTGTACTCTCAAGTGAGGAATCTTTCTTTCTGCTTTTCGGGGTTATTAAAATAAAAGGTTCAGCTTCTCTTGTGTGGATAAATGCCGTTCACCACTTAACCTCTCCAGCACACACTTAGGTCCAGGTAGCTTCCCGTTTTCAGGGCAGTCATTAAAACTTCCACTTCTCCCTGTCTTCCAGGGGAGTATACCAAGCCAGGGAGGGAAGATGCGGCTCCCCTCAACCCAGCTGGCGGTATCCCCCTCTTCCCCCACCCCTCCGAGGTGGGTCTGATGGTTCAGTCCCGTAGGGACCCCTCCAACAGGGTAAGCATGGATCGAAGCCGCTCACGATCATGGTCTCCATCCATCCTCGATGGAAGTGCCACCGGAATGCTACTCGTTTAAAGGGGACTTAATGAACATTTTGAAGAAAAATGATTTCTAGTATTATAATTATCCCTGCAAATTCTTTTCACAGGTCTCTATCAGAGGTTAATTCTACCCCACTGATCTATACATAAGCTTGTACACTGAAGTTTTTCAACCTTGACAACTTTAACACATGTGGACTTCAACTCCCAGAATTCCCCTGCTGGTTAGGGAATTCTGGGAGTTGAAGTCCACATGTCTTAAAGTTTTCGAGGTTGTGAAACCCTGCTGTGCATCCACCATAAAGTGTCTTTATCCTGATACATCCAACTGCCTTGTGATGTTTAAATGAATGGGGTTGATTAGTTTCTGGAAGACATTTGATCGAGCAAATTCTTTTCCTTCTATAAATGCAGTGGTACAATCCTGCCACCAGCTGGTGGGAGGTTCATTTGATTATTAGTGTGCAATGCAATCCCCTTTTGTATGGCCACAAGAACAGGCAAACAAACCTACAGAACGAACATGTGACGTACCATTGATTTGCATTCAGTCTTGTTGCTTGAACCTACAAATATATGAAAATGGGAGAAAGAGAATATTAAGGAAACAATGCTTGGAAAGTAAGCACATGTCTATGCTAGGAAATCTAACATGCACATAGTTCAAGAAATCCTGATTTCTAAGGAAGATTGCAAATTGTGCTCTGGCAGTTCAAATTTGATACTTCTACTAAATTGTTTTGTAAACAAAATATTCCTCAGGGTAGAAAATTTGGAAGGAGGGGGAGGTTTTTTTGTTTGTCTGCCTGGGAAGGAGACAAACTTATTACCTTTTCATCCTCTTTGCATGGCATACAAAAATGGTTCTTTTAAGCTTTTGCTTTGTTTTGGTTTTCAAATAGTTTCTCTTAACAAATACGTTTTATTTTGCAAATTGAACTTTATTTAAATATTCAGATTTAAACGGGTAAAGGCTTCAGTGTGGGCATCCATAGCTCCTTTAAGGAACCACTTCCTTTTCTGTATTCACACGGTAGCTGTGTGGTTTGAGGTTTTTCAAGGACTCTACATCAACCATGTAAACCCTGGGAAAGGATTAACCGCTTTAAGGATTTGTCAATAGTTATAACAAAATGTCCACATGAGATCTAAAGTCTCTTTGCCTGCTTCTGATCTAATATGTTAAGCTAAATTAAAGGTAACCTTTGACTCACAACCACAACTAGGACTGGGACTTCCATTGGTGGCTACTAAAATGTGCTCAATTTTTCAACATTTTTTGCAACAGTCGTTATGTGAATCACCCTGATTGCTAAGTGAATCACGTGGTCATCAATTTTGCCTGTCAGACGCCAGCTGGGAAGGTTTCAAATTCACCCCGGGATGCTTCCACTGTCATAAACATATGCTGGTTGCCAAGCATCCAAATTTTGATCGCAAGACTGCATTGGTTGGTCGTAGTGTGAGGACCCCATTATAAGTCCCTTTTTCATTGTCATAAAAGCTTGCTAAAATGAATGGTTATAAGTCAAGGCTCTTTGTTCATGTGAACAAGAATCTATCAGCAAGATACAAACTCATTTGAATCGTCCAACTAGTTCAAGTGTTTACAAATCTCTGCACTCTAAATCAGGGGTCTCCAAAGCTGGCTGAGGAATTCTGGGAGTTGAAGCCCACAAGTCTTAAAAGTTGCCAAGGTTGGAGACTGCTTCTCTAAATGACCGGTACATTTGACTGCATTCTGAATCCATTCATTACCATAGATGTTTCCGTTGATACAACATTTCTTGAAAGTCATGATGTTTTGAGTCAGGGTGCCTGTTTTGTCTGAGAAAATATATTCGATCTGCCCCAACTGGTCATTCAGGCTTGTGCTCCGAGCATTGGCAGGTGTGTCCTTCTCTGCATAATACATCTCTGTGTCCCAGTTGATGAAACAGCTGTTGACCAGGTAGATAAATTCAAACCTAGGGAAGAAGGAAAACAATGATCAGGATGACAGATGAGATGTCACACTCCTTTGTTTTTTGGCCTGGACAAGAAGATCTAGCCAGCAGATCCAGGTGAAAAGAGTCCTGATTCAACCCTTCAAATCTCCAGGAAGGACTGAGGGAAGATTCTGTTTTCAAACTCTGGAGAACTGATGCTAGTCATCATGAATCAAAGCTGAGAGATCTTTAGCTATAGGGTCTGTCCATATGGCTTATTATCTTCTTTCAGTTCATATGCTTCAGTTACTCATCTGTTTCCAATTTTATTTATTTATTTGTAGAGCATGTATTAGATAACAGGTATAAGTATAAACATAATTATTAATATATGAAATGGATAAGAGTAAAAGGGGACATTAGGACAGGGATGGTAGGCAGATTGGTACACTTATGTACACCCCTTACAGACCTCATAGGAATGGGGTGAGGTCAACAGTGGACAGTCTAAGGTTAAAGTTTTGGGGGTTTGGGGAAGAAACCACGGAGTCAGGTAGTGTATTCCAGGCATTGACCACTCTGTTGCTGAAGTCGTATTTCCTGCAATCGAGTTTGGTGTGGTTTACTTTGAGTTTGTATCTATTGTGTGGCTCGTGTATTGTTGAGGTTGATGCTGAAGTCATCCTTGATGGATAGGACATTGTAATGGATAACTTAATGTACTACGCTTAGGTCAGACTGAAGCCGGCATAGTTCTAAGTTGTCTAAGCCTAAAATTTCAAGTCTGGTGGCATTCTGTTACGAGTAGAGGAGTAGAGGATTCTTCTCGTGAAATATCTCTGGACTCTCTCGATTGTGTTAATATCCGATATGCAATGTGGGTTCCAGACAGAGGAGCTGTGCTGTCCAGACAGTTTAGAGTTAATGGGATTTGGGATAGTTAGTTAGGAATTGTGAGCTGCCCCCTTAAGGGAATGCATCATAGTAAATGTAGTCAAGGCATCCTGGGAAATGTAGTCCATGTCATGTGGTCACATCTGTAATCCGGATTGGTCACTAAATTGACCCTTGTTGGGTTGGGGGAGGCTCCCTCACTCTTGCCTGAACACAGCCTCGTGGTAGCAGCTCTAACCCCTGCCTCTACGACTATGGGATGAAATATGGGATAGAAAGATTAATATCATTTACACTACGATTTCAACTATGCAAAGAATTGGACATTAGATGCATCTTGACATAACTGTGAGTCACCTTGAGGATACCTAATACAATCCAATAAAAGAAACTTTGTATGGGAGAATTTGTAGATTTATTCTATCTGTCTTTATATTCAGCAAGTAAATCATAAGACAGAATAGTAAATGATATTAAAAACTTGAAGCCCTAAAGCCCATCAGTATAAAGACAGTGAATTTGGATTTTGTGATAAAGCAAAGTAATATTGAAGCCAGGAGTGAATATGCAATGCTAATCTGAGCCTGAATTCTCATCGTCTTTCTCCTTCTGTGCAACGGAACTTTTTACATGCTGTTTGGATGGTAGGAGGGGCTGGAATTCCCCTACTTGCTAGAGACAAAAGAGAGCTTTCGAAGCAATGCCTTCTCTGCATCTTTCTTTCTGAGCCACAGAGTTGCAAAACCAGTTTGAATTACAGGAACCCACCAATATGAGCTGTCTTCGAGAATTGGTCTAGCAAATGTTTTGTATGCTCTTGTTAGTAGTACAATATTACCGGAGAAAAAGCTAATTTCTAATTCTGAGAGTTGAAGTCCACAAGTCATAAAAGGCCCCTGGCTCCTCACTCCTGTTCTAGAGTAAGAAAAGAAAGAGTTGAAACCTACGTGATGAGCATGGACATGGGGATGACCAAGCTGAGGAGGATGAGGAACCCCCAGAACGCAAAGAAGGCGTAGCTGACTGCACTGGTGTGGTCGTAGAAGCCCAAAAGATAGCTGTGTTCCTGGAAGAACTTGGTGGCCCATAACCCTGAGCCAATGGCAAGGCCGAAGGAGATCAGGAGGAGAGTGACTGTGATCTATGGAAACATGGAACAACAAGAATGGCATCAGTTTAATCTGAAGAAGGGCTGCAAAGGAAAAACTCAGGCCCAAACTTCAGTATCTCCAAATACAGTTAGTTCTCAACTTATGACCACAATTGAACCCAAAATTTATGTTATTAAGTGAAAAATTTGTTGAGTTTTGCCCTGTTTTATGCCTTTTCTTGCCACATTTGTTAAGTGAATCACTGTGGTTGTTAAATTAGTAACATAGTTGTTAAGTGAATCTGGTTTCCCCATTCACTTTGCTGGTCAGAAGGTCGCAAAAAAGGATCACATGACATCGGGGGACTGCAACTGTCATAAATATGAGTCGGTTGCGAGGCATCTGAATTTTTATCATATAACCATGGGGATGCCGTAATGGTTGTAAGTATGAAAACCGGTCATAAGTCACTTTTTTCAGTGTCGTAACTTTGAACGGTCACTAAGCAAACCCTCATAAGTAGAGGACCACCTGTAAAAGTGGGAAAAGATTCCACCTAAATAAATAAAAAAAAGACGCCAGGCCCTTCTGAATCTGATGCCCTCCAGATGCATTCAATACAATGTAAAATATACAGAAAGTGGCTGGTGTGGAATCTGATCTATACAGATAGTCCTTGACTTAAAAACCGTTCATTTCGAGATAGTTTGAAGTTGCAATGCCACTGAAAAAAGTGACTTATGACCAGTCCTCGCACTTACAATTGTTGCTGCATCCCCAAGGTCATGTGACCAAAATTTGTGGACTTGGCAACCGTCATGTATTTAAGACAGTTGCAGCATTCCATGGTCATGGGATAGACTTTTCCTGCAACCTTCCCAGGAGATTTCCAAGAAGCAAAGTCAATGGAAGAAGCTGGGTTTGCTTAATGACTGCATGACGCCGTTAACTACTGCAGTGGTTCACTTAACAACCATGGAATAAAAGGTTGTAAAATCCGGAGCAACTCACTTAACAACCAATTTCCCTGGCAATGGAAATTGTGGTCCCAGTTGTGGTCGTAAGTCAAGGACTACCTATACATAAGAGAGAGCCACTTCAAAGCTCATGGCACTAGTTCTGTGGATGCTGTTCTCAGGGTTGTGACAAGCAGATGTTGAATAATGAAAGTAAACATTAGAGAAGGGAGCAGTGGCCATTTACAGGGGAGGGAGTCAAATAAAGCAAAATGTTGGCTTTGGCCATGCAATTTGAAGCCTATTCCTTTTGTACATTTATCAAGGTCACACTCATATATAAAGGGGTGGAGCTTTGCTGCCGCTGCCATCTTGCTGTTTTTGACCCCCTTTGCATGCTTCTTCATTTTAATCTATGCTGATTAGTGTACATTCAAAGTGACAATAAATTTGTACTGTTCTGTTCTGTTCTGTTCTGTTCTGTTCTGTTCTGTTCTCTTCTCTTCTCTTCTCTTCCCTTCCCTTCCCTCCCCTCCCCTCCCATCCCATCCCATCCCATCCCATCCCATCCCATCCTACTCAAGGTAGAACCACTTCCCTTTCTTATCCTTCTTGTTCTTCCTGACCATGAATAGCAGGGAGCTTTTACCATGAGCACGAGACGATCCATTAGACGGCAGAGTTTTGTTTTTTTTAACGTGATCTTTCCACAGTTTTTCATGATTTTGGTATCGAAACCTGGAAATGAGACATTTGAGATGGTTGGATTTAAAACAAAAATAAACACAGCTGCCACAGTGGGAGAAACCAATCCCCAGATGCCCGTAGGTGTGAACCGGATTGGCTACTACTCAGTGTTCTGTGTCACCTCAGTTTAAGGTGATGTTTGAGGGCAGGTGGACCTTTGCACAAACAGGCTGTCCCCAATTTCCATTATGAAATAATATTGGGAGACAGCACATTATTTGATCTTGATTGGTTGGTTGTTAGGTTCTTTTACTCAATGGTGGGATTCAAAAAAAATTTTATTACTGTTTCTGTAAGCATGGCTTGGTGGGCGTGGCAGGGAAAGGTTACTATAGAAACTCCATTCCCTCCCCACTCCTGGTTGGAAGGACACTGCAAAATCCCCCTTCCCTTCCCTCCCCACCCCACTAACCTGCTTTCCAGCTCTGTTCTCCTGTGCAGGGCAACAAAAGAAGACCTAGCCAATCAGCTGGGACTCAGGAGGCAGGGAATAGATGGGGGCGGGGCCTGTCAGAGGCGATATTTGCAGGTTCTCCGAACTACTCAAAATGTCCGCCACCGGTTCTCCAGAACTGGTCAGAACCTGCTGAATACCACCTCTGTCTTTACTTATCTAGCTGTTTTTAATTTAAAAACTCTTAAAACAGTTTCAAAGCAGATTGTAAGCCTCACATCTCATCACAGGTATGGGTGCAGCTCAGAGGTGGTATTCAGCAGGTTCTGACCAGTTCTGGGGAACCGGTAGCGGAAATTTTGAGTAGTTTGGAGAACCGGCAAATACCACCTCTGGCTGGAGATTTTACAGTATCCTTCCCTTGCTACTCCCACCAAGCACACCCACAGAATTGGTAGGAAAAAAAAAATTGAATCCCACCACTGGTGCAGCTGTTCCAAGTGAAGCAAAAGAGATAGTATTTGAGAGTATCCAGAGCCCAGATAACATGAACTGGTATGATCAGTCAGTTGCTTTAACACTTCCCACTTGAGTAAATGTAGAAAAAAGGGCAGAAAAGGGCAAATATGCCACAGAAGTGATCCGGCATATCATCCAAAAGAAAAGTTCAGTTGAAAGAAGTAGACTGGAACTTGTTGAAAATTATGGAAACGTCTAGACTGTAGAAGAAAGGATTAGAGCAGGGTTTCTCGACCTTGAAACTTTTAAGATAGATGAATGGATTTCAACTCCCAGAATTCCCGTGGCTGGCTAAGGAATTCTGGGAGTTGAAGTCCACATGCCTTAAAGTCCCCTAATTTGGAAGACCTTGGATTACCAATCTTTGATTAAAGCTGGTCAATCCATCTCCAATTAAAATGGAAAGTGGCTTTTGTGGCACCCCTGATTAGCGGTCTTTCTCCCTCCAGATGTCTCTGTCCAGCTGCTGAAGAGAAGAAGTTAGAATAATTTTATTTCCTGTTTCTCTGAACAGCAAGACAGACGGTTACAGAGAAGCAGGATTTGGAAAACTTTAGGAAATATTTCTCTATGGATGATGAATACTCTTCCTTGGGAGAGAGGGAAGGAGGGAGATGATGATAATAGATGGATGGATTGATGATAGAATAGAACAGAACAGAACAGAACAACAGAATTGGAAGGGATCTTGGAGGTCTTCTAGTGCAACCCCCTGCTTAGGCAAGAAACCCTATATCCATGATGGTGAACCTATGGCATGCATGCTGGAAGTGGCACACAGAGCCACTTCTGCTGGCATGTGAGAGGTCACCTGGAAGAGCCCCACTGCGTATGCACATGTGCCGCCCGCCCAACAGCCGATTGTCGCATATCTGGTGCGCATGCACAGGGGGGTGAGGGGGTGTGGGAGATGCATGTGCATGCGCAGAAATGCATGGCACATGAGGGGATCACGTATGCACAGGGAGGGGTGGGGCGCCCAGGGGGTCCCCCGCGCAGGTGGGGGGGGGCGGTCCCCCCCCCCCCCCCCCACGTGCATTGTCTTCTGGGTGCTGGTACAGGAGTGTGCACAAGTACAATTTTCTGCACAGGAGCCCAAAAAGGTTAGCCACCGCTGCCCTATATCATTTCAGACAAATGGTTGTCCAACAGATAGTTAGTTGGTTGGTTGGTTGGTTGGTTGGTTGGTTGGTTGGTTGGATGCAGGGGTGGGATTCTACCAGTTCGCACCTATTCGCTAGAACCGGTTGTTAACATTCTAAGCAGTTCGGAGAACTGGTTGTTAGAAGAAATTACTGGCCTAATCCTGTAAGAAAGGCAGGAAGGAAACATTCTGGTGTTGCTTACAGAAACTGCCTCTCCGTTAACCCTTATTATATTCTTGGCAGGACTAGACTTCCTGTCTCAGGAACGTCTCTGGAGTTTTTTCCCCCTCCTTTGCTGATACTTTGCTTGTGTGGAGTGACCATTCAAAGTTACAATGGCACTGAAAAAAGTGACTTATGACCATTTTTCACACTTACAACTGTTGCAGCATCCCCACAGTCATGAAAGGCCAGGCGAGGAGATGCATGGCTCGATGTAAGTGATATTGAGTTGGCCACACCCAGCCAATAACGTGACCACCAAGTCATGTCCACCCAGTCAAATGACCACCAAGCCATGCCCACCACCTAAGCCATGCTCACAGAACCAGTTGTTTAAAAATTTGAATCCCACCCCTGGCTGGATGGTTGGTTGGATGGATGGATGAATAGATTTTTTTTTGTTGGAGAGAGATGGCAATGACACATTGCCACAAGGACACTAAATTGCAAAAGTTCCACTGTTAAAGCTGCATCAAGATGTTGCCTTGTGCAGCAGGGTTGGGCTAGATGACTTCAGAGGTCCCTTCCAACCTTGATTCCATGAAAAGCAAGCCTGATCTTGCTCACTTACCTGCATAAATAACAAGGCCGTAGCAGACCTCTGTGTTACGCACTCTACAGCCACGCAACAGGATTTTCTCACAATCAAGAGGGTATTTCTCTCCGTGCCACTCTAAGGTACCGATAAAGTTGTGTAACCGGCTGTTTGGCTCTTCACAGACCACCTCACCTGGACAGTTGGAAAGAGAAACTGGCTCACCTGCTTTTCATCTGTAAACAAACCCTCTTTTTCCTGCACTCCCATCACCTATTTTAGCATTCGTGTTAAAATGGTGCCTTTATTCCAACCAGGATATATATGTTTTTTTAAAAAATTTCAAGCGCATTTTCCTCTGTGAAATATGTCTCTTCTAAAGTCATGTATAAGATCAAAACTTTAATAGCAAAGGAAAGAGAATTCAATTACAGTATTCTTTAAATCGTGTAAAACCCCAGTAAGGTAAAAGTAAAGGCTCCCCTCGCACATACATGCAAGTCGTTTCCAGCTCTAGAGGGCGGTGCTCATCTCCGTTACAAAGCCGAAGAGCCGGCATTGTCCGAAGACGTCTCCGTGGTCATGTGGCCGGCATGACTAAACACCAAAGGTGCACGGAACGCTGTTACCTTCCCACCAAAGTGGTCCCTATTTTTCTACTTGCATGTTTTACCTGCTTTCGAACTGCTAGGTTGGCAGAGGCTGGGACAAGTAACGGGAGCTCACTCGGTGACGTGGCGCAAGGGATTCAAACCGCCGAACTGCCGACCTTTCTGAATGACAAACCCCAGTAGAACCAGGCTAATCATAAATGAAACCACCACTCCCAAGGAACCATTTCTGAAAATGAAAAGGAAGGACTAGCAGAAACACTGACCGTCAAAGGCAGCCATGTTCTCCGTGGAGGTCAGCTGCTCGTGTGTTTCCAGGAGAGCTTGTCTGTATTTCAGGTTAGTCTCTCTGAAAAAAAAGCAGAGTGGAGTCAGCTTAAAAACTGGAAAATGAGTGGTGCTTTTGTACTGTAGTATTGTATTGTATTGTTTCAATTTAAATTTAATGGAGAACATGTCTTAAATGGAGGCTGGGATGGGAGTATGTGCTATTTTCTTTGGATTTCTACAGTGGTCCTTCACTTAACAACCATTTATTCAGTGTCCAAAGTTACAACGGCACTGAAAAACTTGACTTACAACCAGTCGTCACACTTTTGACCGATGCAGCATCCCACGGTCATGTGATTAAAAATACAGGTAGTCCTTGATTTATGAGCCCAGAATTTGTATTGTGAAGTGAATTGCCCCATTTTACAGCTTTTCTTACCACATTTCTTAAGTGAATGACTGCAATTATTAAATGAGTAACTTAGTTGTTAAGTGAAGTTGTGGGAACTTCAAGAAGAGATTGGACTACCATTTGTCAGAAATGGTGTAGGGTCTCCTGCTTGGGCAGGAGGTTGGACGAAATAAACTACAAGGTCCCTTCCAATTCTGATTATCTGTTGTCTGTTATGATGGTGGTAACGTCCTTGGGTTATGGGATTGCCACTTGTGACCATCCCAGCCAGCTTCTGAGAAGGAAAGTCAAGGGGGAGAACTGGAGTCACTTAATGACTGAGGGATTCACTTAACAACTGCAGTGATTCATTTAACAACCATGGCAAAACAGGTCATAAAATTAAGCACAACTCACTCAACAACCATCCTGTATAGCAATGGAAAATCTGGTGTCAACTGTGCTGTAAGTCAAGGACTACCTGCGTTCATGTGCATAGACCAACGCTGTTTCATCAAAATTAATTAATTTAAATTAATTAATTTAACGTGTTCCTCTACTGGCATCTAACCAGAGCATGCGCCCTGGCAAAATTATTTCCTACATTATCTTCAATTATTCCCTATGTGAGGAATGAAACAAGTTGAAATCATCTTTAACTAAATAATTGGTTAACTGGTATCAAAATGATTTTTTTTTTGCCCTTATTCTACCCCCTATCCAAGAGCACCTTTGATGTGTGAAAAATCAACATCAGCATTTTTCAACCTCAGGAACTTTAAGATGTATGGACTTCAATTCCCAGAATTCCCCAGCCAGTATTTGAGAAGGTTCGTATTCTATGCATAATGACAGGGCAATCAAACCCGATCTTCGTTGCTTGCATCTTACGATTTATATTGTTTTCTTAATATCCTAGTATGATTTATGTCGATTGCTTCTTTCGTATCCTGTGACTATCACTAAGTGTTGTATCTTATGATTGATGATGAATGTATTTTTATGATGACTATGATCATGACTGATCACTTATTGTTTGTATCAAGTTGTATGTATACTGAGAGCTTATGCACCGGAGGTAAGTTCCTTGTGTGTCCAATCACACTTGGCCAATAAAGAATCCTATTCTGTTCCGTTTTGTTCCATTCTATTCCATTCCATTCCATTCTATTCTGTTCTATTCTATTAAAAATAACAAGCAAAGACATTACCCATCTATGTCCATGGTCTCCACATAGCAGAGGCTGTTTGGTTCAGAACTGGAGAGTAAAAGGAGGTCAGCCTGGAAAAAAAAAAAAAAAAGCAGAGAGCTTTGTTGATAGATCCATCTTCTGAAAATTTTGGCTTTTATTGTCAGCTTTGAAATTCAGCTGCCACTTTTTTTTTGAGAGTTAGAGAAGTTGAAAAGTTCAAGGTTATTCTGTGTGTCGTATTAAGAATTTCCAGTTGCAGTTAATTGGTTCTTGTGATTTATGAAGTGTAGAAGTTGGAGGAGAAAAGGGAGGAGAGAGGGTGGGTTCTGTGTAACACGCCAAAAAACTTTCACTTGGGAAATTGCTTTTGACATGCCAGATCTGTTCCTAATAAATCAATTGGAGAGATAACGTCTCAGAGTGACTGATATCATGGATACTTTCACATTAATATTATCCACTACTTTCTGTCAAAGCTTAGTAAATATAAGACTTTGTAAAAACATGTTTTAAAGAAGCATTGTCTTTATTACATCTCCAACAAAATGCTGTCCTAGGCCCGTGATAGCAAACTCTGTGGGCACACGAGCCATCGCCCCAGCTCAGCTCTACTATGCATGCATGCGCACGCCTCCCGCTGGCCAGCTGGTCTTCAGATCTCTGCCGTGCATGTGGGGGCACAGGGCGCATGTGCGAGGGGCATACATGCATGCACGAGTGCGGGGCGCATGTGTGGGGATGTGTGCACATGTGCGGGGGTGGGACGTCTGTGAGGGGATGCACACACATGCATGGGGGGCAGGGGGCATGTGCTGGAACATGCATGCATGTGTGGGGCATGGGGCACATGCATGGGGATGGGATGCATGCGTAGGGCACATGCGCATGCCAGGGATGTATGCACATGTGCAAGGGATGTGCACGTATTGGGCGCGTACGTGAGAATTACCTATACATGGAATTTGACAACTGGACAATGAAAATGGATTCTCCATGCCCTTAACCACCGCAAGATTGACTTAATGGCTGCAATGATTCACTTAATGACTTCAATGACTCACTTAATGATTGAAGTAAAACTTGTAATAAAATCAGGTCTCACTCAACTTATAACAGCAACGACTTACGATGGAAATGCCAGTCCCAATTGTGATTGTAAGTTGAGGACTAGCTGTATACCATCAGTTCAATTGTCCACAGTTCTCCAAAGTCAGAGACTTTAGTTGGTAATTTGATAATGATGCAGTTTTAAGAAACCATGTCCCTTAATGCATGTAATATGTTGCTGTGAGTTACCTTGAGGTCAGATGGGCCGTCTATAAATTATACAAATAAATAAATACATGGTTTTCATACAGTTTTTCCTGTTATACGTCTTAAAATAAGGGTGAACTGCAGAACAGTGAAATTCAGAAAAGTGAGAATATTCAATGATTCCAAAATTATGCTTTTGGCTTGACAGAAAATGAAAACTTAGGTAAATTCAGACTGAAATACGAGAGCCACTTTGGTACGATGGATAAGATGCTGGCCTAGAAAGTGGAAGACTATGACTTGTAGTCCCATTTTTGGCATGAAAAGTGACTGGGTGACTTTGGGCCAAATACCAGGAGACAGGGAGTTCTAGTCCCACCTTAGGCATGAAAGCCAGCTGCATGACTTTGAGCAAGTTCCTCTCCCTCAGCCCAATCCACCTCATACTGTTGATATGAGGAAAACAGGAGGAAGGAATATTACGATATGTATTTATTCACTGTGAAAGACTAATAAAATAATAGGCAGGACAAAAATCAAATAAATAAAATATTTTATTTGTTTTCCATTGCCTTCTTTGGGGAAGTTTTTTTTAAAAATAAGATTATTATTTTTTTTAAGTAGATTGTAACTGTCTAGATCAGTGGTGGCTAACCTTTTTGGGCTCCTGTGCCAAAAATTGTGCACGCGCTTGCACACTCACGCTTGCGTGCCAGCACCCAGAAGACAATGCGTGCCCCCCCACGCCCCCTACGCATGCTCATGTAATCCCCACCCACCCACACCACCCCCTTACCTGCACTGCACCTCATGGCTGATTTTTGGCTAGTTTGAGGCCTTTTTCGGCCTCCCAGAGCCTTCAGGAAGGCTTCTGCAGGCTTTTCAGGCCAAAAACTAGGCCTGTTTTGTCATTTCCGGTACTTCTGGAAAAACGGGTAGTGACAAAACGGGCCTAGTTTTTGGCCTGAAAAGCTTGCAGAAGCCTTCCTGAAGCTTCTGGGAGGCCGAAAAAGGCCTCAAACCGGCCGAAAATTAGCTGTGAGGCACACACATGCGCAGTGAGGTAAGCTTGCCTGCAGCTCGTGTGCCGGCACAAATGGCTCTGCATGCCACTTGTGGCACGCATGCCATAGGTTCGCCATCATGGGTCCAGATGACTGTAGCTCTGGATGGATTTTGTGATTTCAGGTCCAGTTATACACAAACACCATCACCGTGCAAATGATGGGAAGCATGTTAAAACTTGTTATTTTCCACCAGCAATTTTACACAAGCCTTTGTAGGACAAAGGACATTCCCTTCCAACCCCTGGATCCAATCTAAAGATGGAGATTTGCAAACACAAAAGTTTTCAAAACTCTGCTCCTTCTGTTCTGAACCGAAACAGAGTTGCCATAATTAGAAGACATAATTCTTTTAGGATCTCAATATTTTTAACCACTCTTGAAATCATCTCGCCAAAAACATTTTGTTTGTTCGGTACGTAGTCAAGAAATTTGGTGCCCGCCTCTAATCCTCGCCTTTCATTTCAATCTTGGCAACTTGCTGGAAAAGCAAAACGATCCTGATGGAAGAAGCTCAACCATGATTTTGTCTCTTGAGAACTTAAAATGTTATCCGGGGGGCAGCCTTGATTAAAAGACAGGAAAAGACAAATTCTTACCGGTACGAAGCTATCCTTGTGGAGGCAAATGATATCACCCACTTGTATATTGCACCATTTCATTTTGCAGAAACTGGGAATATGGGAAAGATAATCGATAAGAAAAGTTTGGTCTAGTGGTTAAATCACCAGTCTAGAAAGCAGAAGCTCGCAAAAGTCTGTAGACAATCTCAGTCATTCAGGTCATGGCTGTCCCAAAGGTGCTTTTTCAAGAGGCAACTGGACTTTCTTTGTTTTTTCTTTGAAGACGTTTTGCTTCTCATCCAAGAAGCTTCTTCAGCTCTGACTGGATGGTGGGGAATAGAAGGATTTATATTCCTTGCAGTCAGTTGGTCATTTGCATCCTTTTAGAGGGTCATTGAAGCACATAGAGATTTATCTGTGTCCTCAAGGTCACCTGAGTAATGCTCCTGGTTTTTGTAGTCTGCAATTTGGTTCCTGTAGTCCTCTATTTCCAGAGGAAAAATTGCAGACTACAGGAACCAGGAACATTACTCAGGTGACCTTGAGGACACAGCTAAACCTCCAAGTGCTTCAACGACCCTCTAAAAGGATGCAAATGACCAGCTGTCTGCAAGGAATAAAGTTCCTTCCATTCCCACCATCTCGTTAGAGCTGAAGAAACTTCTTGGATGAGAAGCGAAACATCTTCAAAGAAAAAACAAGAAAGTCCAGTTGCCTTCTGAAAAAGCACCTTTGGGACAGGAGATCACAAGCTCAAGACCCACCTTAGCCAGGAAAATCAAATGAGTGACTTTGGGCCAATCACATTCTCTCAACCCCAGCCCACATCACAGGGCTGTTGTTGTGGGGAAAATAGGAGGAGCAAGGTGTGTTGGATATGTTCACCCCCTTGAGTTATTAGTAAAAATATTAAAGGCAAAATACAAGTTAATAAATAAATACAAATAAAATAAATAAATCCACTTTATGGGACTTGTGTCAACAAACTAAAAAGCTCAGGAAAGAAAAAAAGGTGAATTTGCAGTGAATACCATTCTCGAGAATAGAGAAATGGCAAAATTGGCTGCTTTGGTTAAAGAAAAGTCTTTCTCTTGCTTCGTTTCTACCTAGAAACAAACTCTTGGAATTTTTGACCAAAACTGATAAAAATGAGGTCTGGGTTTTGATGATTGATAGGTTTATGGTGATAGAGGTACTGTTTGTTATGGTATATTGTAATTCAAGGGTGATTGATTTACTGATTTTTATCTGTATCTGTTGTGGTTCACCGGCAGCAGGTGTGGATGGCTGAGGTCTCGGAGAGTGAGGACTCAGATGAGGGGCCTACGTGTGATGTAGGGATGGGGCCAGGACCAACAGGGAGTGGAGTGCTGCCTTCGGAGTTGCCTGTGGAGGCTGGCAGCAGTGATGAAGAGGCCTCCGAGGAGCCTGTGCCCAGTGCGGATGAGTGCAGGGCTGCTTGTAGGAAAGAGCAGCTGCAGCAGCACGGGCGACTCGGGAGTAAGGCTGCAAGATAATGGCCCCTCCCTTAAGAGATAAAAGCCAGCCTAAGAGACCGGTATTCTTTGCACGAAGCAAAGAAGTTCTTGCACTGCAAGCCTTGTGGAAGTTCGGACTATCTTGGTTTGTGTTTGAAAACTTTTTGCTTGGAATATTTCTTGGCAACTTAATCTAGTGCTTTTGGCAGCCTTGCACAACCTTGGCAAGGCTCGTTCTTATCAGAGACAATTAGTTTTAATAGCCTTTTAACCGTGAATGAACGGAAATTCGCAGAGAAGCATTAAAAGGTGTTGCTTTTATCTCTGTTTGGTGTTTGTTTACTTGGAACAGAACAGGTTTGGGTCAGAAGAGTATCAAAAAAAGACAGAAGATAGTTTTTTATATAGTTTTTGTTCTTGTTACTTGTACCCTGTATTTTTTTTTTTGTTATGCCTTTCCCCCTTTTTAACACCTTTTCTTTTTTATTCAATTTTTTTAATTAATAAAGTTTTAAAACTGGAAAAAGTCTTAAAAGAGTTGTTGGAGAATGTTTCCCCTCACTGAAGAAATTCACTCCAAGTTGCCCTCATGTCAGCTTTCCCTACTATAGTTGTAAATAACTGAAGCCACAGATGTTCTTTGTACACACCTCTAGACACTTATAGGAAGATGTCAACATTTGACAACAAGTTCATTTTTTGCAAGCAAGCATTTTAAGCATGAAATGTGATATTGTGAGAGATAAAGGCCCACAGATCTCCACTCTCCCTGTTTCTTGTGGCTTGCTTGGGCGTTGCTGCCTGATGATTCAGTGCCATTGGAAAAAGTAATAATGATCAAGTCAATCAAGCCACTGACCTTATGAGCCCTGGTGGTGCAGTGGTTAGAATGAAATACTGCAGGCTAATTCTACTCACTGCCAGGAGTTCGATCCTGACGGACTCAAGATTGACTCAGCCTTCCATCCTTCCGAGGTCATTAAAATGAGGATCCAGATTGTTGGGGGCAATATTCTGACTCTGTAAACCACTTAGAGAGGGCAGTAAAGCACTATGAAATGACACGTAAGCCTATTGTCTATGGAGATTCTGACATCTAGCTCATGGTTGTCCCAAAAGTGATTTTTTCAAAAGGTAACTGGATTCTCTGGTTTTTCTTTGAAGACGTTTCGCTTCTCATCCAAGAAGCTTCATCTCAGTGCTATTGCTATCTTCTTTGGGTGATTCCCATCAATCACTAGTCCGGTAGAAGATCACATCCCATTTTTTTTCAATATTAAGCCATCGCTACTTATTCTAATATGGGTCTTTTGGCAATGCCTTGAAGGTCTCTGTATTTGCTCATGACTTGCTATCCCATTCCAGGAAGCTCATGACTATTAATAACTTCCAAGAAGAATATAAGTCAAAAAAGTATTAGTTATTCTCCAACTTTATTCTCTCACTTAAAAGGACAGTGCTTCTCAAAGGAGGTTAACATGTTTCTGAAAGCATCTTCCAGGTTGGCTTACCTTCCACCTGTCAAGATCTCACAAGGTCGGTTGTTGATTTCCCCATCACTTTTGTGTCGTGCCTGAGAAGCAAAAAAGAATGCGTGAAATGCATTGGTACACTGAGCATCTGTTCATCGAGGACGTCACCTAATCCAAGGTTTCTTAAACTTGGCAGATATGTAGACTTCAGCTCCAAGAAACCATGCCAAGTTTGAGAAATGCTGCTTTAATCCAAAATCAAAAGTTACCAGCCCTCTGACCAGAAACTCTCATCTCACATTCCACCAAATGTGGAATGTGAAATATTAAATGTGGAATGTGAAATATACTTCCATCAAATTATGAAAAGTTAATACAAAGAATACAGGAAATGGGCTTTTGAAATGCTAGATAAGTACCTGACCTTCTTTTGCCTTTTCTGGATGAAGATAACCCTGTAAAATGTGGTTCATTTAGCTTTGGTCAACCTGAGCATCCCAGGGGATAAATAGAGTAGAATTAAGTGCTGTATTTTAACTGTTATATTTTAATATATTTTAAATATATATATAATTTTCTCCAGTTGAACAGGATAAAACTACCTTGTTGAGGTAATTCCCCGTTAGGAGAATGAGCGCATACAGGGAGACGTATTTGAGAGAAGTGTTTGAATAATACACACATAGCACACAGATACACTGTACAGTAAATGTAGGTTTTTACTTCCAGAAACGTTTAAACAAAGTTCAAAATAAGCAGTCCAAAGTCATTCACAGGTAAGGCAGTCAGTGTACAGTCCAGGGATAATCCAATACAAAGTCCAGTATCAAAAACACTTCAGTATCAGACTTACATCAAGTCCAAGAATAACAGTCAATTAGGAACGGCAATACTCTCCAACAGAAGGAAACAGAGACTCACTTAGATACACTCTCTTCTGAGACTAAGACTAAACAACCCAGGTTTCTGGCTCCATCTTATGGCCGTTTGAGAAACCACACCCAATTACAGTTTTGCATTTTCTTAAAGATACAGTATTAAAATGTCTATCCTGGTGTATATATTTCCAACCCAAATAGCTGTTAGGTGACTTACATTGCTAACATACCTGCTTGCTCTTTTCTTGCCTTAGGCTTACCTTCTTTAAAACCAGGTGACACTGATAGCCAAAGCTGGCCCTAGGTTCTGCCTCAGTTTACCTTCCCAATAAGCAACCGAGTCGGAAAATCATAGAAAAGCAGTTTATTAGAGAATCCTGATAAAGTTGGATCTCTCTATGAAAGAGGAGAACCTCAGAGACCCATCTTACATTCCTTTTTATAGTTCCCACAACAAAGAAAAATGAAAGAGGAAAGTTGGTTGGACAAGATAGGAGTAACCTCTCCTTTGCACAGTAAATCAACCACAAAGCTTGTTTGAAGTTAGATAATCAAAGGTCAGCTGACACTAAGAAACTTTTTTGTTATCAGGAGACAGTATCCAGCCATTCTTCTGTAAATTATCTTTTCAGTTTAAGAATGTTAGAAGCTATCTAATCAATCCATACAACCGTAGGATTGAAGCTGCCCTACATTCCAGTCTATAGTGAGCCTGAACATAGCAAATAAGTCAAATTAAAATACATAGTACCTGTGTTAACCTAACTATCCGGTGCAAGACCCAAAATGCAGGTAGATTCTTCTGAAGGTAGGTCGTCCTTACTGCTTACAGTCAAAAACTATTAAGGCTTTGGGAAGGTGCCCTTAAATCCTTCAGTCTGAATCCTGGTGAGTTAGGGGCTTAAAACAAATTCCTTCTGTTCTAGTTGTGCTCAAATAAGAAGTAAAGAGAAATGAACAGGTATCCTGGTCTTCAATCAGGTAGTTTACTACAATAGTTTCCTCTGCAGTTCCACTTCAAAATAACACACAGAGGGCCTGATTAGAGGTTTGTCACTGATTAAAAACACTAACAACCTTACCTTTATTTCTCTGCGTGATATAGAGCCAATGAGGGGTCTTAAAACAAAGATTAGTGCCAAAAATCACCTGATTTCTACATCACTGTTTTTCAAACTTGACAACTTTAAGATGCGTGGACCTTAACTCCCAGAATTCAGCACCCCACGCATGGTCCCAAAGGGACTTTTTCAAAAGGCAACTGGACTTTGTTTTTTCTTGAAGAAGTTTCACTCCTCGTCTTATCATTCTGAGTGCTAACGACCAGATGACCGCAAGGAACATAAATCCTTCAGTCAGAACTGAAGAAGCTTCTTGGATGAAATGTCTTCAAGGACAGAGTCAATTTACCATTTAGAAAAAGCACCTTTGGGACAACCATGACTTGGATGACTGAGAATCTCCATAGCCCAGGCTTTGGGAGTTGGAGTTGGAGTTGAAGATGAAGTCCATAGATGTTAAAGTTGTCAAACAGGAAAAGGACCTGCCTCAACTATCTTTATTCAAGAAAGCATGACTCTTGAAATGGGTTTAATGGAGTGCCAGTGATTGCAGAGAAGTCAGGCAGAACCTGAAGTTTCCACGTAAAGCGTTAAGCTAATTTTCCCTCTTCAAACAACAACCACACCCCAATCTTCCAGTCCACCAGTTGCCAACAATATGCCACAAGGGTGTTTTGAGAACTCCAAGATGTTAACTTGATAGCAGCAGTGATGGGATTCAATTTTTTTTACTACCGGTTCTGTGGGCGTGGCTTGGTGGGCGTGGCATGGCTTGGTGGGCATGGCAGGGAAAGGTTACTGCAAAATCCCCATTCCCTCCCCACCCCACTAACCTGCTTTCCAGCTCCGTTCTCCTGTGCAGGGCAACCAAAGAAGACCCAGCCAATCAGCTGGGACTCGGGAGACAGACAATAGATGGGGGCGGGGCCACTCAGAAGTGATATTGGCCAGTTCTCCAAACTACTCCAAATTTCTGCTACTGGTTCTCCAGAACTGGTCAGAACCTGCTGAATACCACCTCTGGATAGCAGTTCACTCTCAGGGCACTGCCACCTTGGTAATCTGGCTCTGGCTGGGAGGAAGCCCCTCCCTAAATCAAACGCGTTACAGCAAAAGCAAAAGCCATGCAAGAAATCCGGCTCTAGCAACCTGCCTCCCCCCCCCCCCAAATGGTAAGCTTCCTGCTAGGTAGTTGAATTTCTTTCCCCCCCCCCTCCCTCCCCCCCAACCCCCATGAATCTGATAAACTCATCTGCTACAGAATGATCCTACTATCCTCCTCCAAGAGATTACAAAAGTCATCCAGTTAGACAGATGCCTTTGCAGGTGCTGAAAAGAAATACTTACAACATCATCAATTAAATCACGGACGCCTCTGATGGAGAGCAAGATACAGAGGGGAACGAGGAGTGCAAACCAAGGCAGTGTGGAGATCTGTGGGAAGGTCTGTAACAGATAATAACAGATAATAATAACATAATCAGAGTTGGAAGGGACTTTGTAGGTCATCTAGTCCAACCCCCCACCCAAGCAGGAGACCCTACACCATTTCTGACAGATGGGAGTCCAATCTCTTCTTGAAAGCCTCCAGTGGTGAAGCTCCCACAACTTCTGAGGGCAACCTCTGTTCCATGGGTTGATTGTTCTCACTGTCAGAAAGTTTCTCCTTATTTCCAGGTTGAATCTCTCCTTGCTCAGTTTCCATCCATTATTCCTTATCTGGCCTACAGGCACTTTAGAAAATAGCTTGACCCCCTTCCTCCCTGTGGCAGCCCCTCAAATATTGGAAGACTGCTATCATGTCTCCCCGATCCTTCTCTTTACTAGACTAGCCATGCCCAGTTCCTGCAACCGTTCTTCACATGCTTTAGTCTCCAGTCGCCTAATCATCCTGGTGGCTCTTCTCTGCACTTTTTCTAGAGTCTCAACATCTTTTTTATAATGTGGTGAACAAAACTGGATGCAGTACTGTAATAGAAGGCAAAGGTGAAACTTTTCTTATCACAAAGGAGGCTAAAAGGGAGAACTTTGCATTAATATCTTCAGCAGGAACAAAGCATTCCTTCCATTTAGGGAAAGCCGAGTCAAAACAGGACATATATACAAGAGTTCATTTAATGACCGTTCAAAGTTACAACAAAGATACAAAAATAACTTAGGACCATTTTTCGTACTTAGGACCATTGCAGCATCCCCATGGTCATGTGATCAACATTCAGAAGCTTGACAAGTGACTCATATTTATGACGGTTGCAGTGTCCCTGGGTCATGTGATCATCTTCTGACAAGCAAAAATAATGGGGAAAACCAGATTCACTTAACAACCTTGTTACTAACTTAACAATTTCAGTGATTCACTTAACAACCATGGCAAGAAAGGTCATAAAATGGGGCAATATTCACTTAAAAACCGTTTTGCTTAGCCACATAAATTTTGGGCTCAATTGAGGCAATAAATCAAGGACTTCCTCTATTCTTGTTGTACAAGCAGGACCAGACAACTAGGCAAAACAGAGGCCTTGAGGTTCACAGGCACAATAGACTCTTACCCCAAGGTAGATCTGATAAGATTAATTAGAATCCTGCCCACTTCACTGATGTAGAAGCTTGTTCTACATAGATCTGTATATCTACCCCACCAAGCTAGGAAGGCAGGCAAGGAACAGGAAATAAGGGTGTTTGAAAGAGTTATCACTACAAGGATCCTTTGTCTTCAAAATTAAATATACAAACTCCTTATGCTTCTGTTTTGTTTGCTCAGTAATTTACAAGCTGTAATACATTGCAAAAATCTGGGAAAAATAGTAATTTGAGCGCCCCAACTTCCCAAGCAATAATGTTGAGTCGCCCTTGAAAAATACCTTGACAATTCATGAGACATGACAAAACTATAAATGCAATTTTCCTAATAGAATAGGATTCATCTGTAATTAAAGATGAGGAAAAATTAAAAGCCAAAATTAGTAACAGAATAACAGAGTTGGAAGAAGTCTTGGAGGTTCTAGTCCAATCCTCTATTCAAGCAACAGACCCTATACCATTTCAAACAAAAGCTTGTTCAAATCCCCATTAACCTCAAACTTCAATCTGGTAAGCACCAATACCATCCAGCCACACGCAATCCTTACTTCCAGCTTCCAGTCATTCAAGTTCACACTCAATTTTGGTGGCAGAATGGCCAAATTTGAGTGGCGTGATTTCTCACTTTTTTTTTTTTTGTCTCACACTGGGGATGCTCTGGAAAGTGAATCCAAAAATTCAGGATGGCAAGTTTGGTCATGAGACTGAAGCTCCTGTAACGTTATGTGAAAATGGCCTTGGAAGACAGAGCAAAGAGATTCCACCAAGGCAATGTCAGGTAAAAGGCCACTTAGCCCTCAGTATAAATCTGGGAGGGCAAGAAGCTCGGAAAAGACTCTCTCTAGTTTCTGAGACGGGGGAAGAAATGTACGTTTAGACTTGTAAAATATACTTTTACTCTTCTACTTAATTCTAATTAGACTTAACTCATCTGGTTGTGTTTCCTGACTGGTCTACCTCATAAGGCTGACAGTTCTACCTCTTGTTCACATGTGTGATGCATGTTAAAATGGGGCGGGGCTTCAATCATGTGATTGCAGCGTCCATCTTGATTCTTGCCTCACCCCAAAGGATGCCATATTTTTAAAAAACTGACTGGAAATAGAATCTCTTTAGAGAGCGGACAGCCTTTGGTGCCTCAGAACAGCTTATGTACATATCTCTATTAAAAAGTAAAAAAATGCTGCTAAGAACGGAATAAAGAGCCCTCTTACCTGCAAAAGAATAATGAACAAGAAGTATACATTAGCCATCTGGTGAAATTGTTCATACAAGTTGCGAGGGAGAAAAGTGAAAAAGTTGTACTTAGCCGTCTTAATGGCATTGTCCTGCGAATGATAAACCAGCAAAGATTCACATGAAACTTGAGCTAACTAATTTATTATCACATATAAATTTTCATAAACCAAAATCCACTTTGTGAAGTGAAGTGTGAAGAATGGAATATAATACATGTAGGCAGGTATTCTTGGCAAGACCAAAACTGAGATTTGTGACATTTTTGTCATTTTTTTTCCAGCAGAAAACACCAAAAGGGTTTAGAAATGTGAAAAGGGAGGGAGAGAGGGAGGGAGGGAGGAAGAGGGAAGGAAAGGGAAAGGAAAGGAAAGGAAAGAAGGAAAGGAAAGAAGGAAAGGAAAGAAGGAAAGGAAACAAAAGAAGGGAAGGAAAGGAAAGGAAAGGAAAAAAGGAAAAGAAGGAAAGGAAAGGAAAAGGAAAAGGAAAAGGAAAAGGAAAAGGAAAAGGAAAAGGAAAAGGAAAAGGAAAGGAAACAAAAGAAGGGAAGGTAATGGAAGGGAAGGGAAGGAAAGGAAAGGAATGGAAAGAAGGAAAGGAAAGAAGGGAAGCGAAGGTAATGGAAGGGAAGGGAAGGAAAGGAAAGGAAAGGAGGAAAGGAAACAAAAGAAGGGAAGGGAAGGGAAGGAAAGGAAGGGAAAGGAAACGAAAGGAAAGAAAAGGAAAGGAAAGGAAAGGAGGAAAGGAAACAAAAGAAGGGAAGGTAATGGAAGGAAAGGAAACGAAAGGAAAGGAAACGAAAGAAGGGAAGGGAAGGGAAGGGAAGGGAAGGAAAGGAAAGGAAAGGAAAGAAGGGAAGGGAAGGAAAGGAAAGGAAAGAAGGGAAGGAAACAAAATAAGGGAAGGTAATGGAAGGGAAGGGAAGGAAAGGAAACAAAAGAAAGGAAGGGAAGGGAAGGAAGGGAAAGGAAACAAAAGAAGGAAAGGAGAGGAGAGGAAAGGAAAGGAAAGGAAATGAAAGGGAAGGAAGGGAAGGGAAAGGAAAGGAAAGGAGGAAAAGAAAGGAAAGAAGCAAAGCAAAGGAAAGGAAAGGAAAGGAAAGGAAAGGAAAGGAAAGGAAAGGAAAGGAAAGGAAAGGAAACAAAAGAAGGGAAGGGAAGGTAATGGAAGGGAAAGGAAAGAAGGAAAGGAAACAAAAGAAGGGAAGGTAATGGAAGGGAAGGGAAGGGAAGGAAAGGAAAGGAAAGGAAAAGAAAGGAAAAGAAAGGAAAGGAAAAAGGAAGAAAAAGGAAAGGAAAGGAAAAACACTAGCTAGCTTCTGGGAGGCTCACAAAGTTTAAAACACACACACACACACACACACACACACACACACAGAACCAGAATATAAAGAGGATTTGAAATCCCTGACATTTTTATTCCTCCCTCCCTCCCTCCCATGACTTCCAATCAAGACTTACTGCATATTTTTTCTTCTTCAAACACCAGAGATGCCTCTTTCGAATTTGTTCATGATAAGCTCGGTTATTAGCCTTAACCACCCAGGTAAAATCTGGAAGAAAAGGACAGAAAATACTGGTCCCAATTGTGGTCGCACGTCGATGAGTCTCTGTGCCGTTTTCTCCAAAAAGGATGCTCTTGGTAATGGTCAGCACAATTTGCACTCCAAACTAAACATCCACACAAGTGGTTAATATCTTGACCACCGAGTCCAAGTATAATCAACTGCCTTTGTAATACAATCTGTGTCAATGAAGTTCAGTTATGCATTCAAAACTACTTTTCTGGGGAGGGATCCACAGAGGTCCATCTCAAAGGAGCCTTGGGGAGGGGGAGAGGTGAAGGGGATCTTCAAAAGGCAAAGAATCCCTTGCAACAATGGGAGTCTCACTGAAAGGATGCTCAGGAAGAAAAAAGGTCTCTAAGTGATCATCACACAGGATCTTCCAGAGTGGAAGAGGATATTTGTAGCTCAGGATTGAGGTGAGGTGCTTGGTGCTTTCTGAGCTTGGTTGTTTTCTTGGAGATGTTTAAACTAGGTAACATCATCAGTGTTAGTAGAGGGTAGGGTTTGATCTCATACAGATACAGATTAACAGAGTTGAAAGGGACCTTGTAGGTCATCTAGTCCAACCCCCCCCCACCGCCCAAGCTAACCCTACACCATTTTTGACAGATGGCAGTCCAGTCTCTTCTTGAAAGCTTCCCCCCACAACTGTTCCATTGGTTTCTCACTGTCAGAAAGTTTCTCCTTATTTCCAGGTTGAATCTCTCCTTGTTCAATTTCCATCCATTATTCCTTGCATGGCCTTCAGGTGCCTTGGAAGATAGCTTGACCCCCTTCCTCCTCTCTGTGGCAGCCCCTCAAATATTGGAAGACTGCTATCGTGTCTCCCCTGGTCCTTCTCTTCCCTAGACTAGCCATGCCCAGTTCCTGCAACCGTTCATCGTATGTTTTATTTATATACTAGTGGCTTGTCATGTCAGTGTTTGTAGGAGTGGTCTTGATGGCTCCTTGGTTGGGCTGTTGTTAGCTTGTTTGGCAGTTCCTTGATTGGGGAATTGTTTGCTTCTTGATTGTAATTCTAATGTTACTCTTGGTGTTCATCCCTGCTCATCCGTGTATTGATTGCTGGTGAGGAGGTATTTTGGTCTTTTTGTTTCCTTTTAGGCTTTTTCACTGTCTTCTTTGAACGGTATGTAGTAGTTGTTTATGTCTATGTGCCTGTTGATGACTGTTTCATTCAGTGGAAGCAGAAGTTCAGGGATCACAAGACCTCTAATATTTGGGAGCTCAGCATCACCCCAATCCTCCATGTGTGGATGCTGTGAGCCTCAAAAATCAATAGCCCTCTGTGGTCCAGTTGAGAAAGGATCTGCCCCCAGCAAAATCATCATTGGCTATGTGTAAATGAAAATTCTCCATTAATTGTAATATCTCACTGTCACTCAGTCTTCCCCAACCCCCAACAGGCATGCATAACCAACTCTCCCTGCTATCAGTTTCCCTTCTGAGCTCAGAAAAAGCCAAGAACAGCCATCTTGAAATAGCTGGAGACATAGCTGAGGGAGCTAGGTGTGCCGTGCCTAGCCTATTCGAGAGAAGGATTAGAGGGGACCAGGGTAACTGTCTTCTAATACTTGAGAAACTGTCAAGAGAAGTGGGGACTGACATATTCTCCAAAGCTCCAGAGGACAGGACAAGAAGCAATGGGTGGAAGCTTGTTAAGGAGCGAACCAACCTAGAAGTAAGGAGAAAATTTTTGACAGTGAGAGCAACTAATCAATGGAATAGCTTGCCTCCTGGAGTTGTAGGTGCTCCATTGCTGGAGGTTTTCAAAAACAACCATTTGATTGGGATGGCATAAAGCTCCTACTTTGAGTTGGGGGTTGGACTAGAAGACCTCCAAGGTCCCCTACAGCCCTATGATTCTATGATTCCATAGCTCTGGTCCACAGGTGGGATCTTATGTGAGGAAGAGATCCACACACACCTTTCAATGAGATATCAACCGCTTTGGGATCTTAGATGGGTGACTGACTCACATAAAATGAGACAGCACAAAGGATTCCTTGTTATTGATTACAATACAGAAAAGTTTGCCAACGAAGTCTGCCAATTTCAGGTCGAGGGAGGAAATACCAAGGCTGGTAAAGGCATATCTCCAAACCAAATCAAGTTTTTCAAGCTTCTAAAGTGCCCCCCCCCCCCATGCACACTTTGGATTACATCAACTAGAAATTAAATTAAAGCTGTGGACAAGTTTTAGCGTGGGGAAAAAAAATATGACTTCAGTTATATACATTTCATGGTTCAAAAATCTGTATTCCCCGCCCCCTCAACAAAAGTTCCCACCTGTGATTCTAAAAATCCCCACATGTACTTACCTTGTCCTGTGTTAGCCTCATCCTGGTAAGTCCCGAGAGACTCCTGTCTTGGCATTTTGAAATCTATAAGGCAAAAAGGTTAAATCATTTAACCTCCTTGCAATTTGCTTCATCCTTGTTGGCTGTGATCTTGACAGATCTGTAGCGTTTTGATTACAATGATGACTGATACATACAACCATCCAGAATAATCTGCTCACCTCTTGTATATTCCATTGCAGCCTCAATGCTTATTTAGCCATTCTGCAATCGGCACTCATTTTTTCCAGCGATAGGGTAGCATTTACAGCACACTTTTCCCAAGCCTTGATGCCTCCCAGATGTGTGGACTTCAACCCCCAGAATTCTCATCAAAGGCCAGGTTAGCTGGGGAATTCTGGGGATCAAAGTCCAAGATCTGGAAGACCCTAGACCTGGAAGGATTGAGCTGGGATGAGGGGAGATCTGGATTCCTCTCCCCATTCACCTTTGGCTCTCTCTGTGTGATGGGAACAAATCGTTGTCTTTCAGCCTGGTTGCTCTGGCTGAGAAAACAGAGGAATCATCTGTTTTGGTTTCCTGGAGGTTGTTTATTTATTTTTCCACTGGTATTGTCAAACGGCTTAAGAGAATTAAGATTGGGTAAAGGCTGCTTAAACAACAGCAGATTTCAGTGGTAAGAGGCAGCTGAGACTCTTGAATCAGTGAATGAGGAAACAGTTCACTTTCAAACTTTCTAGAGTTGCAAAAGTTTTGCAGCTTGGCCAGAGGAAAATCAGCTGGGTTTCCTGTGGGCATGTGATGATCGGTACACACTATCAGTGCAAGAGCCTCTTTGGAAATACTCCTGAGTCCTTCCCACACACCAAAGGGCAGATTAGGATTATAATCTTTTTTTCAAGCTGGTGCCCAACAAGGATGGTGAGGTTCTTGCTCCCGGAGAGCTTATCACCTTTTAGATCCTTTTAAAATCTCCACCTTCACCAGAAGTCGACTGAAATCGTGCGCTGAAGCTCCCGTGAGTAACCAAGATCCCCTGGGAGCCAATCCCGGTGAAGCAGCCTCTGGCAAGCTCCTGCAGCTTTCCCCAGCAGCCATAGCCTTCCATCCCTGAGCCCTTGCGAAGTGCAATTCCCCAGAGGCGGGGCAGGGCAATTTCCCGGAGGCAGGGCCATTGGACAATCTCCCGCAACCTCCTCAGCAGCTGTAATGCTTGAACCCCGAGCTCCATCGGAGCGCAAATACCAGGAGGCAATTAAAGAGCCAGGAGGCAATTAGAGAGCCAATCCCCACTCATCTTTCCGAGCCCCGGATAAATACAATTCCCTGGAGGCAGCCAGAAAGCCAAGCAGAACGGACTTACAATCAGCCAGTCTAGATCCCAGCAAGAAAAACTTCCTGTTTTTGTTGTTGTTAACAGGAAACAATCTTGCTAGAAAAATAATCCCACAATTCTCTATTTTTCCAAGCAATCTCTCTCCAACTTCTACCTCATCAGGAAAAAATTCCTTAGTAGCCATTAATCAAATAAACCACATGACTTTAAAGATTCTTCCAGTTCTAAGATTCCTTGGGTGGAGTCTTGAACCGAGTCAGTTGGGAATGGAGTCAACTGTGGTTCCCCAAACAGGATTCCCTGAACGGAGAAAATGTTTTATTCTGTTTCAATAATTCAGCATGTTTTTAGTCATCCTGTTTACAGCCTGTTTCTGCATGTTCCAGACCTACAGCTTTTACAGCGTGTTTCACCCAGTGGATCAGATAACAGCAGCCATCAAAGCAATAACCCTTTACTTGCTGACCCTCAATACTACTTCATTACTTTAATACTTAAACACTGATTACTTCATTACCTCAAAACTTACAACTTTTCTACCTCCTGACCTAGATCAATGATTAGATAATGATGTCTCTAAATCAATTTCTATAAAATAATTTATCAATGGATTAAGTGATTTATTGGTTTGATTGATTAGTGTGATTAGAGTGTTTAGTGCAAATAGTGTGATTACTGATCAGTGTAAAAGATCACCTATTCATGCAATTTAATTAGTAAAATTAGTGATTTAGTGAATTTAATTGACCAGTGTGATTAGCAATTAGTGTAATTAATTGATTAGGCTGATTGTTGCTTAGCAAAATTATTTGACTAGAGTGATTATTGTAATTGATTAATTGGTGTGATATTGGCTATATTGATTTCCCAAATATCTTGTTTCATTAAGCAATTTAATCAACATACCACCTCAACAAACCTACCATGCCAGGAAAAAAATTCAATGCCAAACCACAACCTAAAGAGAAAGAAATCCCCACCAATGAACCACAAGACTCCTGCACATGCCTTATATGTAATGAAACTCTAAAGGATAATGAAAATTCCACCATGTCAGCCTTCAAAATTTTCTTCCTTTGCTTTGCATCTTTCGGCTGTCATAAATAATGGGGGAAGGAGGGGGGACATGGTTATGGGAAGCTAGCTGGAGGTGTTACAAAACAGAACTGTATAAGGTGGGGGGGGAAGGTTCTTGCTTAGGCTTTTATCCTATGCTATGCGCAGCCGCAACTCTTTATCAAAATATGTCAAGGTCAACGGACAGAGACCTCATCACCACCTGGAGATGCCCACATGATGCTATACACAACTTTTAATTGGATGAGCCAATTGAACTATTGAGGGTGGGAACGTTGCCATCACTTTGTATATGTGATTTACGCGCTCATTTTCTCAGATTCAGAATTCTTTTGTTGCTACCACTTGACTTCCAGTCAAAGATATCATTTCTCTAATTAATGGAGTCTAAGTATTTCTTTCTTGGATTTTGAATGGAGCATCATCTGAATCTGACTTTACCAGCCCACCTGGAGAATTAATTAATTTTCTTCTGAGGGCGTCTGAACACAATGTCTAATCCAGCTAGCGATCAAGAAGACCTGGGAGCGAGTGGAGGACCAGATTCCCTGCTGTTAGAGGCGGCAGGGGAAACGGACTTGTTAGCAGAATTAAGTCTTGGCGAAAAACCAGCTGTAAAACCCAAATGGTCCCTGGGAGTCGGTTGGAAGAATCCTAAGGAAAAGCCTCCTCTACCTGTCGGCATGGAAGAGAAGAGCCATGGCAAGAGAAGGAAAGAAAGAATTTTTTACTAATTCAAGCCCTGCATCTTCTAAATGAAGCTGTCAGAGAAACTCAGACTGATCAAAGGTATGAGAGGGAAGAGGGGGAGGCAGCCCCAGCCAGAAGAATCAGAGCAGCCACCCCCAAAAATCAACTGGGCCAGCGCAACAGGCAGTAGCAGCCCAGGGGCCCCGGCAGGGGAAGTAATTGCCAGAAGGCGTAGAACTCCAAAGGTGCCTCTGTTGGAAGTAAAATATGGGAGGGATCCCAAGGAGTTAGGATTCTTTCTGGCACAAGTCTGGAGCCATATGGAGGAATATGGAGAGGATTTTTCCTCGGAAGCAGCCAAAGTTAGATGTGTTACCAGGGCTCTTGAGGGAACAGCTGCAAAGTGGATGGTGACTTTGCATAATGATAATGCCCCACCCAGCTAATGAATTATGACCTATTCATGACTGCGCTGCGGGCCAGGTTTGAAGACCCACTTGCTGAATGTAAGGCCAGAATTAGGATGAAGACCATAAATCAGGGGCAGAGATCAGTGGCCGACTACACCCAGGAATTTAGAGAGCTGGCGTGTCATATTCGAGGCTGGTCCCAGGGAGCCCTGATAGAAGCTTTTAAAGATGGGTTGAATGAAGATGTTTATCAAAGCTGTATTGCCAGAAGAGACCCCAGTGAGCTGCAGCTATGGTACGTGCTGGCAGCAGAGGTGGAAATTGATCTGACCCAAAACAGATGCCTGGGGGCCTTGGTTGGAGCAAGTCCTCCCCCACCAGCCCTTGAGAAACCTTAAAACCTCAAAAGGGAGGGATGGCAGCAAAACCCAAGACCACTGCATGCTTCCGATGTGGGAAGGAAGGTCACCGGGCTGCAGAATGTCATGCCAAGCTAGAACCAAAGGGGGCACCAGGAGGAGGAAGAAAACCTGAAAAACCCCCAGCAAAGCCTCGCAAAATGGTGCTTAAAGCAGAGGAGGTTGTAGAGATCGCCCCTCCGAAAGGAGAGGAGTTGGGAACTCTAACCTTTTCTGAAGAGAGTGAATCCGAAACGGAAGATGATTCACTGGTAAGTCCAAACAAGGGCCCTATGACCATTCCAGTGAGATTAAGGGTACCCACGTCAGGAGCCAAAGGGGAAATGTTGGCCTTGTTAGACTCTGGGTGCACAAGGTGCGTAATCAGCTCAGAGGTAGTAGAGAAAATGGGCTTAAGGCTAAAGACTTTAAAAATGCCCATAGCCTTTTGCCAACTGGATGGATCGGTAGCTGGGGGCGGCCCTGCACATTTAATAACAGAACCAGTAGAAATGATGATGGGGAAGCATAGAGAGATGTTTTGTTTTATTGTGGCTCCTGGGATGGAGTGCCCCCTAATACTGGGTTTGCCTTGGATCTGGAAATGGAACCCCCACGTCGACTGGAGGTGGAGATCATTGCGCATACTTACTGACCAACCCCCAGAAGGGGAGCGGCAATCTCAACCGAAACCAAAGAATCCCACAGACCTGGCCTCCACTGGCACCGAGAATCTGAGGGGGGAGGAGAAAATTCCAGAGGAATATTGGAACTTAAAGGAGGTATTCAGTGAAAAGGCCTCAGACGAGCTCCCCCCCCATCGCTCAATAGATTGCAGTATTGAAATTTTGCCAGGAGTGAAACTCCCAAAACCGAAACTGTACTCGATGACACCGCGGGAGCTAAAAGAGCTGTGGTCATTTATTGATAAAAAATTTGGAACGTGGTTTCATCCAACTTGCTAGGCCCCGAGTAGCGGCCCCAGTATTGTTCTGTGAGAAGATGGCTCTCTGCATTTATGTGTTGACTATAGGAACCTCAACGCCATTTTGGTGGAGAACATGTACCCCCTCCCCTTGATGAAGGATATGTTGGCCCACTTGGCCAAAGGGAAAATATTTACGAAACTCGACCTGAGAGAAGCATACTACCGAGTTCAAATTAAGGAAGGGGATGAATGGAAAAGTGCTTTTAACTGCCCAATGGGCTATTTCCAATTCAACGTTCTTCCATTTGGCCTACAGGGGGCCCCTGCAGTATTCATGCAAATGATAAATCAGGTGTTGCATGAACATTTATACAAAGGGGTGTTGGTTTATCTTAATGATATTCTTATCTACACGGAGACTCATGATGAACATGTGAAACTAGTGCGGTCAGTTCTGGAAAAACTTTGAGCTGCTGAACTGTACGCAAAGTTGTCCAAGTGTGAATTCCACCAGGAAAAAATTGACTATTTAGGCTATTGCATATCACATGATGGCATAGAAATGGATCTGGGGAAAGTTCATGCCATTTTGGAATGGGCCCCTCCCCGCACCAGGAAACAACTTCAAAGTTTCTTGTGATTTGCTAATTTTTACCATCAATTTACCCCTGCGTTTGCGAATATTGCAATGCGTATCACAAATCTCCTAAAAACCAAAG